TCTAAGAACTTGCATTACTCAAGTTATTTCCACTCAACTAAATCTTCCCAGATCTAATCAAGCTGTACTCCCCTCTTATGATTTCCCAATCATAGTTAAGGCACAAATTCAGCTCACTTGAATAAACAAAGAAATAATCATCAAATCCATTCAACATCAACTAGCAACTTAATATTTAACAAATCAACAACCTCAGCCAACAAATCATAATCTCACAGAAATATATTTATGAATTCAAGTTTAGATTCAAGAAGAAGAGTAAATATTCTTTAACAAGAAAAACAAAGTAATGAGAATAAGAAAGACTAAAATGATGATGAGAGAATCCGAATCCCCCTTTTCCAAGGTTTCCTCTAGCTGCTCTTGCATCAACAGATGGTCCTTCACGTTTAAATCTCTGTGACATTTTCTTCTTCTTCCTCCTCAGTACTGGAAATGGTACTTGATCAGAAAAATGGAGGTGGTTTCCTTTTCCAAGTTCAGCCGCCTCTGCGTTCAAAAATATGACCAAGGACACCTTCTTCTCTTGCAGCTGCAGGTACTTATTGTACCCTAATTACACGTGGCAGCCCCTGAGGAAGCCTCCAAGCAGCAGCTAAATCAGCACCCTTCACGATAAAATCAGCCCATTCTTCCAGCTCAGGTACAACTGTCAGCAACATGCATGTCTGGCCCAGCTCGCCTTGCTGCAGTAATGCACAGCAATGCTGACTAGGATTTCCTTGAAAATTCCAAAACGACAAGTTGTTGCTAGCCTCCAAGACGACAATGCTTTCTCAAAGCTGAAAATAATCACAACATACACCCGGATTAGCTGTTTTAAAATGCCAAACACAAGAGAGAGAATTCATGAAACATAACTAACTAAAAACTACAAACAAGACAAAATAAAGGATGAAACTAAAACTAATTACCCTCTAGGTAATAATTTAAGCCTGGGAAATGCTCAATTAACTCTATTTTCATAGAGTTATCAAAGGTTTAGGGTTTAGGGTTTGAGGTTCAGGGTTCGGCATTCGGGGTCCGGGGTTCGGGGTTCACGGTTTGGGGTTCACGGTTCACGGTTCACGGTTCACGGTTCAGGGTTCATGGTTCAGGGTTCAGGGTTCACGGTTCACGGTTCCCGATTCAGGACTCATGGTTCAGTGTTTAGGGTTTAGGGTTTAGGGTTCAGGGTTACGGGTTTAGGGGGTGGCTCGGGGTTTCTGGTTTGGGGTTTGGGGTTTGGGGATCTGGGTTCAGGGTTCGGGGTTCAGGGTTTTGGGTATGGGGTTTGGGGTTTAGGTTTAGGGTTTAGGGTTTAGGGTTTTGGGGTTTAGGGTTTAGGGTGGGGTTTAGGGTTTAGGGTTTCGGGTTTGGGGTTTGGGGTTTAGGGTTTGGGGTTTAGGGTTTGGGGTTTATGGTTTATCGTCTAGGGTTTAGGGTCTAGGATTTATGGTATAGGGTTTAGGGTATAGGGTTTAGGGTTTAGGGTTTGAGGTTTAGGGTTTTGGGTTTGGGGTTTAGGGTTTGGGGTTTAGGGATTGGGGTTTGGGGTTTAGGGTTTGGGGTTTAGGGTTTAGGGTGTAGGGTGTAGGGTCTAGGGTTTAGGGTCTAGGGTCTAGGGTCTAGGGTCTAGGGTCTAGGGTTTAGGGTTTAGGGTTTTGGGTTTCTGGTCAGGGTTTACGGTTTGGGGTTTGGGGTTTGGGGTTTGGGGTTTAGGGTTTAGGGTTTTGGGTTTAAGGATTATGGTTCAAGGTTCAGGGCTCAGGGTTCAGGGCTCAGGGCTCAGGGTTCAGGGCTCAGGGCTCCGGGCTCAGGGCTCGGGGCTCGGGGTTCGGGCTTCAGGGTTTGGGGTTCGGTGTTCAGGGTTTGGGTTTGGGGTTCAGGATTCGGGGTTCGGGGTTCTGTGTTCGGGGTTCGGGGTTCCGGGTTTTGGGTTCAGGGTTCTGGGCTCCGGGCTCAGGGCGCAGGGTTCAGGGCTAAGGGCTCAGGCTTCACGGATTAGGGTTCAGGGTTCAATTTTCAGGGTTCAGGGTTCAGGGTTCAGGGGTCATGGTTCAGGGTTCAGGGTTCAGGGTTTAGGGTTGAGGTTTGAGGGTTTACGCTTTAGGATTTGGCGTTTGGGGTTCGGGGTTCAGAGTTCAGGGTTCGGCGTTCGGGGTTCACGGTTCATGGTTCAGGGTTCCGGGTTCAGGGTTCACAGTTCAGGGCTCAGGGTTCAGGGTTTAGGATTCGGGGTTTAGGGTTCAGGGTTCTGGGTTCAGGGTTGGGGGTCTAGGGGGTTTAGGGTTCAGGGTTCGGGGTTTGGGGTTTAGGGTTCAGGGTTCAGGGTTCAGCGTTCGGGGTTCAGGGATTAGGGTTTAGGGTTTAGGGTTTAGGGTTTGGGGACTAGGGTTTGGGGTTTTGGGTTTAGGGTTTAGGGTTTGCAGTTTAGGGTTTGGGTTTAGGGTTTGGGGTTTGGGGTTTGGGGTTTAGAGTTTACGGTTTGGGGTTTGGTGTTTGGGGTTTGGGGTTTGTGGGCTCAGGGCTCAGGGCTCAGGGTTCAGGGTTCAGGGCTAAGGATTCAGGGTTCAGGGTTCAGGGCTCGGGGCTTAAGGCTCAGGGCTCGGGGCTCGGGGTTCGGGAATCCGGGTTTGGGGTTCAGGGTTCGGGGTTCACGGTTCACGGTTTAGGTTTCAAGGTTCAAGGTTCAGGCTTCCGTGTTCAGGGTTTAGGGATCTGGGTTCAGGGTTCACGGTTCACGGTTCCGGGCTTAGGGATCGGGGCTCAGGGCTTGGGGTTCGGTGTTTAGGGTTCGGGGTTCAGTGTTCGGGATTCAGGGTTCGAGGTTCTGGGTTTGGGGTTCGGGGTTCAGGGTTCGGGGTTCGGGGTTCAGGTTTCAGGGTTTAGGGTTTAGGGTTTAGCGTTTAGCATTTAGGGTGTAGGGTTTGGGGTTTAGGGTTTAGGCTTTGGGGTTTGGGGTTTGGGGTTTAGGGTTTGGGGTTTAGGGTTAGGGTTTATGGTTTAGGGTTTGGGGTTTGGGGTTTGGGGTTTGGGGTTTAGTGTTTGGGGTTTAGGGTTTAGGGTTTAGGGTTTGGAGTTTAGGGTTTGGGGTTTGGGGTTTGGGGTTTAGGGTTTGGGGTTTAGGGTTTAGGGTGAAGGGTTTAGGGTTCAGGGGTCAGGGTTCAGGGTTCAGGGCCCAGGGCTCAGGGCTCAGGGCTCAGGGTTCAGGGTTCAAGTATCGGGGCTCAGGGCTCGGGGCTCGAGGCTCAGGGCTCGGGGCTCAGGGCTCGGGGCTCGGGGTTTGGGGTTTGGGGTTCGGTATTCGGGGTTCGATGTTCAGGGTTCGGGGTTCGGGATTCAGGGTTCGGGGTTCTGGGTTCTGGGTTCGGGGTTCGGGATTCAGGGTTCACGGTTCACGGTTCAGGGTTCAGGGTTCAGGGTTCAGGTTCAGGTTTCAAGGTTCAAGGTTCAGGGTTCAAGGTTCAGGGTTTAGGGTTCAGGGTTCAGGGCTCAGGACTCAGGGTTCAGGGCTAACGCTCAGGGATTAGGGTTTAGGGTTCATGATTCAGTGTTCAGGGTTCAGGGGTCGTGGTTCAGGGTTCAAGGTTCAGGGTTCAGGGTTGAGGGTTTACGGTTTAGGGTTTGGGGTTTAGGGTTCTGGTTTAGGGTTTGGGGTTCAGGGTTCTGGGGCCAGGGCTCAGGGCGCAAAGTTTAGGGCTACGGGTAAGGGTTTATGGTTTGCGATTTAGGGTTTGGGGTTTGGGGTTTGGGGTTTACGGTTTCGGGTTTGGGGTTTGGGGTTTGGGGTGTGGGGTTTGGTGTTTGGGGTTTAGGGTAAGGGTTCAGGGCTCAGGGTTCAGGGCTCAGGGTTCAGGGTGCAGGGCTCAGAATTCAGGGTTCAGGGTTCAGGGCTCGGGCTCAGGGCTCGGGGCTCGCGGCTCGGGGTTCGGGGATCTGGGTTCGGGGTTCACGGTTCACGGTTCACGGGTCAGGTTTCAAGGTTCAAGGTTC